GTTATGCCACTAGTCCATGCCTAGCTACTGTGCTGTCCCAGTGTCCCTGCACAGTGCCACTATTGCTCTGCACTCCTTGGGTTTCATCACGAGCATTGTGTTACTCTGGCTTTGACGTGGACTGCACCACCCTGCGCCAGGGAATAGCAGGTTTGACCTTGGGCAGACTGGAGGGAATGTGCTTTTGGTAATGGTATCATTCCCACTTTCCTTGATGAAGTAGTAATGACAGTTCGTGTGGAAAGAAGAGAGGTGCAGGATCCCTTTGCAAGGAGACATGTAATTCCATTGGTGTACCTGTGGGGTTCAGCACATCCTTCTCTTCCCAAGCTATATTGGCTTTATTCTCCATTTCAGGGTTTTTTTGTTACTCTGTTAGAGGTACATTGCAATCACTGTCAGTGGGGCTATCTCCTGAGTAAGGGACTATTCAAAATGCACCGAAGTCACAGTCTCGCAGATGGAAACTGATCCAGAGATGTAACAAAGAGCATTTCAGATGGTACATTCTGCCAATTTTATGCACTGTATTAAAATTCAATAGGCATGAAATGACCAAGAAATCTGACACTTTTATAGAAAATGTTTAAATATATAAGCTGCATCTTCTGTTAGCGTACACTGGCAGAATCAATAGAGCTCTGCTGCTGTACACTGCCTTTCTGTGCCGTATCATTAAGTAACAAATGAGTTGTCTGCCGTAGATTGTTGGAGTATGGTCACAAATTGCAGACTGAAATCATTAGCCTGTGTTAAAGCATGTAGCATTCTCCTAGAAGAGTCTTTCTTTTAGTCCCGTGAACATCAAAATAATGCTGCAGCTTGATGGCTGAATAATAGCACGCTTCAAATCCCTTCTCCTAGCCCCAGAAACCTGCACTGAAGTTTAGATGTCACTTTGACAAGTAATGTCGTGACATTCTTACAGCTCTAATATTAACTCAATTCTGTGTGATTTGACTGTTCTCTATCCTCTTCCTTGAGTCAGAAAAGCAATGCCCCTGAATGACAAGGAAAACATTCCAGGGTCAGCTGCTAATACTTGCTTTTTGCCATCTAGTTTGGCAGTAGCTTGTTACAAGTGCTGGCCTGGAAAACAATAGAGATTTTGCAATGGTTTGCAATGTTATGGTGATGAAGAATTATTTACTGCTTCAATCTTGTAGTAATGTTGATGTCAGTCCTCCACCCTCTCCAAACAAAAAGCAAGATAGGGAAAATTCTTGAGAAAGGGAGAAAAAGCATGGATCTGATTTTAACAGCAAGAGCCCACTGAACACTTCCTTTCCCCTGGGTGAGTATCTTGGCTTCCTCCTTTCCATGGGCCACGTCCCCCTGAAAATGATGGTAGTTGCTTAAACTGAAAAGTCATGTTGTTCACTTCCAATCCTGGCTTCTTTTAGTGCATTTTAGCCGCTGGAAATGAGGAGGAGAGCCAGCAGCATGGGAGCAGCCAGCTCCCTGTGTACTCCAGCAGCCGACCCACACACCATAGCGTGGGGCTGCTGCCATGGCTGCAAGGACTGTGCTGCTCTGAGCAGGAAAGCAGCAAATCTTTGTGATCTCAGACATTCCTTCTGCTTTTCTCAGAGAAGAGAGGCAGGTTTAAGACCTGTGGGATGCTTGCAGAGAGGCAGCGTGTATCTCAGGATGCTGGTGAGAAATAAGACTCAGCTGGGAGCAGCATGAAGGAATAGCTGAGGGGGAAGCAGCTTCCTGTAATGTCCCTCATTCAGCACAAAACCATTTAAGAACATAAGGCCATCAATAGTATTTTCATATCAGAGATTCATCTTCTCCATCATCCTGCCTGATAGTGGTTCAAATTAAAGGTATGTAAGAAGTCAGTAAGGAAATAGTCTTTTCCAGGGTTAGTTTCCCAGCCTGAAACCATCTGGCCACATGCTGACTGAGAGGTGGTGTCTTTTGGCTTAATAACTGTTGGTGCCTTTGCTATGACCTTAACACTCTCTTCTCGAGGGCATGGATGCATTTAATATCCACAACAAGGTTTCCATAGCCTGTCTGCAAGGTGCATGCAGAAGCATCTTCCTTTAAGAAGCCGCCTGTGCACGACACCCCCAAACAAAGACCATAACCCTCTCATTCAGAAGCACCACCTCCCCTACCCACAGCCCTGCAGCAATTCATTCTGTTTCCTTTCCCTCCTCACGAGTGACCTGTGCCACTTTCCCCACATGACAGTGGGTTTAGGGTCCCTCCAGGCTCTGCAGCTCAAGCTGAGGTGCCTCAGAGGGGAGTTAATCATAAAGGTGTTTATTTCTTTCTCATTCTTTTAAGAAGCCTCAGGATATGAGCATGTAAATCCCAGCCACAGACTGGAGTAAGCCTGCAGTCTCCATATAGAAATCACAATGGATATCTGATAGTGCACTGGGCAGTGCATTCACTCTGATTTATCTGGACACAGCGCTGTCACCAAGGACTATCTTGCCCTCTATTCTTACATGATACGATAGTTAAAAGCAATGCTAGAGATGATTTGATCATTTATGTTTTCAGCTGCCTGTGGTCTATTGCCACGTGTTGTCTCTGATGTGACAGAGGCCCTGAGAGCCATTATATGGGAAACTCCAGGGAAAATGGGAAAGCTGCTTATTTTTCTTGGCGTAGGAATGATTGTTCTGGCCAAAGTGAGTCCAGTTTTGTGTGTGTTTATATCATGCTTCATTATTTGCATGGCTGGCCCTGGTATGGGCTTCAGGGGCTGGTGGTTTTGTAATTTGTACAACCCTTGCTCTGTGCCTTTGCTGTAGTTGTGGCAGTTTCCTTTTTTATTACCACTTCCTCCTGAGGGAGCAGTAATTCATGGTCAGAGGTTAACCTCATTTGCTGAAGCAGCCAACTTCTGCGCCAATGCCTCTATAAAAATGGAGAGTGGGGACAAAGAGATGGGAAATAAATAGAAGAGATACTCTTCCAATGACATACACAGCCATTCTTGTTGAGACATAGAAACAAAGGGATTTCTGTAGTGGCTGGGATCAATATCAAATCCACTGTTTGCCTTTATCGGTATATCCTAACAGTTCTTTGGAGGAAAAGAACAACTCCATTAAGTAAAAACTGTGGAGGCATCTGCCTGTAATGGGCTTTGCTCTCTAAGCCAATCCGCTTCCTGAGCCAAATGCCAGTTGGTGGCTACCTTACAGCGCAATATTCCCTTTTCACTACAGTTCTGTGCAGCTCTGGGTCCTCCCCTTGTGCACACAGCACTGCGAAGCCCTTGACTTGGATGACAATTCATGGTAATGAGTTCTACAGATTAGCCAGGCATAAAGATGATTCTTTCCTTTGCATAGTGACAGCAAGTGGCTGCAACTCAAACTCTCACACTTGTGAAGGCTTTCTCTACCTACAGCTTTAGAAGGAGCTGGGAGGATGTGTTGCATGACAGAAGCTGCTGTGAGGCTTCACAGCAGCATGAGGGACAGGACAGGGTTTGTGTTATGAGACCTCGAGTATTGATTTGTCTGGGGAGCTCACGCTGCTGGGTGAGAGCTGAAGTTCAAGGGTTAGTGACTGGCAACTAGAGTGCATTCCCCTTAAAGGCCAAGCTCTTGGAATGACATGGATGTGCCAGCTGCTGCTGGCAGGCTCTTGGGTTTTTTCTCAAGGTAGAGTCTAGCTTTGTATGTATGTGTGGGACTGTGGAGTGCAAAACCAGAAGGCAGTATTGGTGATCAGGCAGTTACCCAAGCAAACATCAAGCTGAGTTGCTGGTTTTATGACAGGGCCTGTGGTTTGATTGACTGCTGTCAGGAATAGTCTGTTCTAAGAGATCGCTCACATCTCACCTGCCAGCCTGCTCTGCTGTTTGAGCACACAGATCTGTTTTCTACTGTACATCCAGCATTGTACTGTCAGCTAATGTTTTCTGATCTTCCCCATTAGCCATCAAGAACAAGTAACCACCATCACTGTTGTTGGCTATTGCTTATTGATTAGCAGATCGGTTCCTGGAACTAATGCTGCTTCAGATGCACTAAACTGAGCAGCAGTAATCCATCTCCTTCACAGAACTGTGGGAGTTGTGTTCCTCACTGAACCTCCCTCCATCATCCCAGGGGGTGGGGGTTGACAGGACAAGCTCACAGCCGTGGGTGGGCATCCTGTGTGTCTCAGACAGCCTCAGGCATCACCTCCCCTGGGTGTAGTGAAGCTGCTTCTGATTCCTCGTAGAGCTCTGTCCTAATGTTGGTTCAGCATAGATGCCTCTGTTAGCACTTGTGGACAGAGCAGCTTATCAACCTTGGCTGATAGCTGGCAAGCTCTGCAATGTATAAATCAGTCAATATGTTCCTAATTCAGTCCCCAGAATTGGGCTGAATGGGATGAGGCAATAATTTTAGGTTGCAGGAGTCATATTCAGCTAAGATGAGTTGGCAGCTTAACTCAGACTGGAAGAAAATATCCTAACTACAATAAAAAGCACTCTAAAGCCTGGCTCTAAGTAAGTATTGGGCTTTGACACTTAACGGGAAGAAGCCAAATTCCCAGCTGCCAAGAGGATGCCCAGCTCCCAGGAATGTAATCTGAGATTCTTGGCTCACTTTGTCCTAACAATTTAATAGTCATTTAGGCTAAAAAAAGCCCCAAAGTGTTGTCCATCAAAGTGATTTTGAACATAAGTTACAATTGTCCAGGGAACTCCTCTAAGTAGCTACAGGGTCGATTGCTTGCTGCAGTCTGCAGATACCCTCATCCCAGTACCTTGGCTATCCCCATCGATCTCCAAACACAGCCCTGCCCTGTCTCAAACTGGCTAGCCAGAACTTGTCATGGAGAGGGAACACCAGCCGTGAACCCCAGTCCTGTGCTAAATTCCCATGGAAAACAATGTTGAGGTACTCATCCCTGTGGTTATTTTTTGGCAGGTCCTGTTTGGTAAACTGCCCGTGTTCCGTGTTTACTGATGGGAACAGGGTGGGGATCGCTGCTGCACTGAGTGATTCTAAATATATGCTGCATCCTTTCAGCAATGGATAAAGCAACTCCCTTGGTTTGAACCAAAGGACTCCAGCTCCCCTTTCAGAGCACCCAAACTGCGTGATCCACAGGCTGCAAGATTCCCTGGTGACCGACAGAACATCCTGGAAAAACACCCAAAGCCTAAACAAAACAGGCTCCTGTGAGCTAAATACAGGGATACACAGGAAAAGCTTTTAATCTTGGATAGACAGTCAGAATTGTCCTGCCTTCCTCTCCCAGAAAATAAAAAGAGAATCCTATAAACCGTATTTTACTGTCCAAGACATTGTCTGATGAATGAGAATGGGAGAGGGGAAGTAAGAGAAGAGGGAAGACCTTGAGAAAGGATGCAATCCTAGGCTTGGCTTTAGGACATGAATACAAAATGCGCCTCACTCTCATGGAAATAGATAAAGTTTCTCTAGGAAAAATGTAGATGAGCAGCATCAGCATTGCATTTAATTGTCTTTCCTCTGTTTTGGACAATTGTTTTTGTGGGGCTCAGTGATAACTGATAGAAATCTCACCTCTGGCAGAACAATGTACAGTGTTAAAAATGTAAATCCCACAGAACTAAAAGCACCTAGAAACAGCTCTATAAGGGCCAGAGAGTGAAGCTCTGTCTGTGGAGATGTGCTCAGGCTACAGGTTATCTTTGGGGCATTTGGAAGAAGTTTTGTCCTTTTGCACCTCCCTGCAGATCCCATGCTGAGCAGACCTTGGCCAACTCCAAGCCCTGAAGAGAGGTATCTAGGATCCCCCTGCATTCAATCATACATCCCAAATTTCCTTATCATCCTCACACACCCAAGCTTGTTTTGAGTCTTTCTCTGACCGTTTGGTTCAAGTCAGCTTATGATAAGAAGGAAAAATCTCTTTATCCTGAGTCTATCCCTGTTTAAGAAACAAGCAGGGGATTTCATAAGGAGCAAGGAGAGATTGTGCAGGGAGGGGAGCAGGGAGAAGGCTGACCCCAAATAAAGCCTGTTATTATCTTACTGTCATCTTACAGAAGAACATGAATGTACTACTGACAGGAGCCCCACACCACAGACTGGGAGAGACCCCCAGGAAAAGTCAGGACTGTTGCAGGAATGTGTGGTAGGACGCATCCTAAACATCCTACCTTGCATGAGGGACCTTCTCAGCAGGACCCAACCGGCGGTCCTGCCCCTGGGGTGCTGCATCACCAGGTCAGTGGCTGAGTTTGCCAGGCAGGTTGGTTTGTGCCATGGGCAGGATGTGGTGCCAGGGTGGTCAGGGGTGAATATCAGGTGTATTGAAACAGTCGACAAAAGAAGTCCTGTGAACTTTCCCCTGGTTGGCATTCCTCTCCGTGCTAATGGTATGTGTTGGACTCTGAGCTCCAAGTCTCTGACCTGCGTGACGGAACTATAGTTCCTATGTGCAATCACAGCAAAATCCCCACTGATGTCTACAGGAACAAACTCCATGTCTTAGGATTGGCTTTTTCCCCCCCTGTGAAATGCTTCCAGAGCAAGTCTGCGCATTCCATTTCTTTTCAGGGCTTGCAGTTAAATATCTGTGGCCTCTGACCCTGAATTTCAGGGTCTTTATTTGAGCACACACAATTTCATTTCATTCTCAGGTTAAAATCTGGCTCTTGGGGTTGCTTCTCTCAGCTGTCTGAAGTTACAAACTCCTACCAGCTCTTCCATGGGTGTTCTCTGCACACAAGGCAGTGATCTCGTGTCACACTCAGACCCATGAGTACTCATGCATCCCTAAATTAATTTCTAGTGGCGACAGTAATGCCTCATTCTAAGATTAAGGAAGGCAGATGGGGCTGACCCAAGAGAGCATTAGGTGTCCATGGCTGTGGTGCCTGCATGATGGAGCAGCCCATGGCCCTTTAAAGGAAACACATGTGATTTCTGCTCTGGTGTCCAAAAGCTGAATTACATCCTCTGTGCCTCAGGACTGGTTTTTCGTCACCACCCTTCCCTCTGGAAGTATTAATAGCTCTATGGTCAAACAGTTTCACTTGTAACAGGAGGCGGAAGAAGAAAAAGTAGACCAAGGGCTCGAGCCAGATCCTCACCTGACGTAGGCTTTGTAAAAGGAGCCAAACCTACAAGTATCCCAGTGTGTGTGTGGCTGTTTATCACTAAGGCAAAAGCTGTTACTGTGGTGTTAAAACTTCTGCAAGCAGAGAGGCAAGCAACTGCTTTTGTCAGCTCGATTGCTTCTTCATCCTAAATACGTGTAGCATGTCCAGGACACTTCTGGCATCTGAATCTGGAGGCAGAGCATTAACCTTTATAAACTTCAGGAGGGATTTAAGCTTTCTCTTGATTTCCTATTTTACCTCTTGTGGTTTCATACTTTACCTCTTGTTATGTGTTACATAGCAGCGTGGCAGGAACAATGCACGGTCCTTTTGTAATGCCTTTTATTTAATGACTTCAGAATGCTTTGAAGCCGTTGACACTGGACATTAGAAGTGGGTCAGTTCTGCCTTCCTCATTTTAGAGATGAGGACAAACAGGTAGAGAGGTTAAATGATTTGCCCTGCAGAAAGGAAATGTATGGATAGTGCAATTTGCAAGAGGACATAAAACTTTTTGGCTCTGTTGCCTCTGTGCTTACCACAGGAATGGATTTCCTCCTTCTGTGAAAATGACTTCCTCTGTGATCATTGACAGTGAGCCTGCCAGTCAGAGAGATATAATTACAGAGACTCAAAAGAAGATGGGCAGCCCAGAGCTGGGATTCCTCTCCCTACAACAAACTGGAAGGATGGATGACTGAGAGAATGGGACTAGCTCATGTGTGTTCAGCTGATGGATGAAGTAACCACAGGAAGTGTCAGGGCCTCCCAAACCAGCTTTGTACCTGCCTCCCCATGAGTGTGGGGCAGAACTGGAGCACAAAATCAAACTGCAGGGTCCTTTCCCGTCCTGTGCTTCTAGGAGACTGCAGAGCTCCAGTGAATAAACCCGGGGAGCCAACAGCTGTAACAAGGATTTCTTCTCTCCATTTCTGTTTGCTTTCATTGCCGATCAGACCCTCAGTGTGGAAGTGATGAGGAAGCACATTGCTGTCAATGATCTCTCTTATTCTATGGCCTCATGATAATTTGTGGGTTTCTGGTAGTGACAGTTTCTGCAGAGCTGGGGTTGCACAAGAGTCTCACTTTTCATTTACTGGTAAATGAAGTTTCCAGCCATCACAGTTGCAGGGAGAAGCCTGGGTGACAGGCCATAGAATACACAGCTTGAAATACTGCATGTCAGGTCATCTGCATCAAATCACCCTGAAACAGAATCAACACAGGTTGCAGCATGCTGGTTTATCACCTAGCAGAGGTATTGCAGGCTTAGAGTGCAGAAGCTGTTGTGAAGCATTTTAAGTAGATCAGATTTACTCCCGGTTTATGTGACAATACAGTGACACCAGGTCAAATGGAACTGAATAGTGTTTCAGTGCAGGCTCAACAAAGTATCTCAGGAAGCTTAAAAAGGCAGAACCAAAGGCATGATTGTGCTACACCATCTTAGAATTACAAAAAGAATAATCTGCATTCATACCTGCTCCCTATCCAAGGGTGATACAGTCCCACACAAGCTATCATGCACTTTGCAACTCCTGTTTTCAGTTGCCCTTGCAACTGAAGGCAAACCTGAGGGTTTCCTGCGTGGAAAAGCTGCTTAATAAAAACAAGTCCATGGCAGTTCCTTCAGTGATCTTCACCTTTGGCTTGAAATCTGCCTGCACTTGACCTTTACCTTTGCCTTGAAATCTGCGTGTATTTGCTTCCACTTGTGTCTGTATCACGTTTGCTTTCCATAATCAGGTTTTGAGTTGTGAGGGAAAGTTTTTCAATCTAGTGATTCCTGTGGGACCATCTCAGTGCTACTGCAATCAGCTTGAAGTGCTTTTGACTGCAGTAGAAAATGTGCCATATAGGCCTTTGAGGAGAGTCCTCTGACAGCTAAAGTGCTCTTAGACTAAGCAAATCCACCCCCAAATACAGTGATTCAGTTCTGCAGTTTTCCTCCTTGCATGTATAAACACTGCAGAGGTGTGATGATGTGCTCTTGCCAAGTGACTTGTGTGAAGTGAGGGGATACATGAGCAGGAGCAGGTCAGGGGGTTCCAAAGTTTCACTAGATTGTAGTCAAGCTTCATCATCCTACCAGATGTGACCTATAGACAGGAGATGTCAAAGTGATGCCACTGTTCCCTTTGGGAGGAAACATCCATGTCCTTTGCTCTATAGCATGGCACAAACCCCTCAACAGACCTGGCTCAAGGCTGTTGTCTGAAGTTTAAACCATAACCCCTATATGAATGAAAACCTATTTCATTATCCTGACAACTTCTCCTTCCTTCTTGGTGGATCTTTGCAGAGGAAGGGAGAAGATGAGGTCTCCAAAGGCACGACAGGATTTCCAGCAGGAAGGGCAGCATGTTCTTATCTAGGACACTTACTGGAAGGGGAAGGATGGGGAATGTTGATTCATCACTAACTGTTGTGTAACAGATATTTAAGAAATGGCTACATTTGTGTGCTGTTTATAAATAATTGTGGGTTTAAATGCCATGGCAAGGGTAGGGTTGTGCTGGGAATTGCTGGTGTGAGCCTGGACAATCCGGCAACTTTGTGAGCAAAACAGCACCTTTTTGTAGGTATCTGCAGAAATAAAGAGGGTTTGGGAATCCCTGGAGCCAGAGATGAGGGACCAAGGAGTTATTTAGAGAAACAGAATATTCATGCTTGAACAGGGACCATGAGGTGTACAGGGGCCGGAAGAGCCAGCATGAGCAGTGGAAAGCAATGGCAGTCCCTACTCATCCACTTGAAATACGGCAGGAGCTGACAGCAACTGCAGGAATGGTCTGTTTAGACAGAAGTTGATTTTCACAGTGGAAATCTCACACAAACCCAGTGTTTGCTTCCAGCCCTCCAAATGGACAAAACAGCAGGAATTTTGACACCTGACTCTCTGAGCAGTCATTTTCAGTGAACCTGCAGGTTCTCTTCTGCAGGCTGAAGGGCAAAACTGAGTGTCCTTCCCCACAAGAGGGTTTGTTGCAGCCTACCTGCTGCCTTGGCCTGTGAGCACAGCCTGGCTGAGCAGGGCTGGGATGGGTAACTTTGGCCAGCAGTTAGGGGTGAATGTGTTTCTCGCTGTGTCCAATCTCTGTCACCTGTGTTGTTCTGTAGCTTTATTTTGTGCCAGACATAATAATTATTTAAGGGCAATAATAATGTTTATTTAAAACTATTGCAGCTGAAAACAGCAGCAAAAAATAAATTGTACTTTTATATTCGAATATGGACAATAATATTTTTGGATTAGCTCAATATGTGTCAACAGGACATAGATCATTGCATCTTCCCCTTTTCTTGTTATCAGTCACACCAGCAATGGCAGAGGACACTTTCCCTTTGCTCCTCGAGGCAAGTCTTCAAGCAGCATTGCTTTTAAGCTGTTGCTGATTGTCATGTCAAAAGCAACCAGATTTCAGGAGCCAAGCAGGGCTTCTCAAATGATTTAGGATCCTGGGTATTGAGAGACTGAATGCCAAACAGCCATTCACTTTGGGGGAGATGGAAGGCAATGGAGACACAGAACCCCAAATGATGTATTTCCCTATTGACACGTGCATCTGAGAGCCCTGAAATGTCAAAATCATAAAAATTGCCCCAAAAGCTTTTAAAATGATGGCAGGGATTAGAGCCAAGCCCCCTGTGATGCATGAGCACCATGCAAGCAGTGAGTGGAGGTGGGTAGGATGCAGGGGCTTTATGGGCTGGGACCAATCATTAAATCACAGCACAATCAGGCTGGGAGGGAGCTCAGGCTTGAGGTCACCTGATTTAGCCATCACTCGGGCCAGGCCAGCTCCATCTGAAGTGTAACCACTTCTCTTACAGGGTACTTGATGAGGCCTCATCCAGCAACTTGAGGACTCTGTTCTGCTGCACATCACCTGAGCACTGCCTGGGAAGGTAAGCTGGTTTGTTTTCTGCTTCCTTTCTGTGAACAAACAAGTATTTCCTGGTTCAAAATGTGGGGGGAGAGGAGCATGGGGAGGGAAGAGGGAACCACAGAAAGCAGGAAATATTCTCCCCAGCTGTGCGAGAAGAGGCTGAGGGTGGGGAGGCCACCAACATACAAGCTATTAACAGGGCTGAGGATGTGTTATTTTACTTGTAATAACCAATGAAACCAGCTAATAACGGAAAATTAGAAGGTAGGCAAGGAAACCCAAATCCTTCCTCTACAGATCAGCCTCAGGAAAAATGCATTCTCTGATAGGATGCCATCAGGGTAAAATTACATTTTAAAAGTATCTCTGCATGTGCTGCTAGTAGTGCTAGATTATTGGAGTGATGAGAACTGTTCCCACTTGCTGGTAATTTCCATCAGTGCGCCACCATTAACTAGTGCATCCCTGTCTGCCACCAAGAAGGAACACCAGGTCAGTTTTGTCTGAGTGAATTGTGTGCTTAAGGGCCATGAGTTTCATTGGACAGATGAGGAAATGATTTGAAGCGCTGTCAGATGAGAGTACTTGGCAATGTCTGTGCTGCTTTTGGGAGGGGGGACCTGAGCCTGTGCTGAGGTTCAGCTCCTGTTGTGGGAGAGGAGAGGTAGGGATTGGAGCATGAGGCTGACGTGGGCCTTCTCCAGCTTTGGTGTCCCTCACTGTCCCTTTCCACAGCAGCAATATGGGCTCTGCCCCACATGGACCTGGCATTATGTGCTGGGGATGTGGTGGTGGGTACAGCTGGCTGAGAGCTGCCAGCAGAAATCTTCCCATCCCCTTGTGTGCAGGCTGTGCGTGGGTGTGAATTTAAGATCTCACCCATCTTTGTTTCACCAACCAACATTTTCCCTTGTTTCTTCATGGCTGGATAAGGTAACCATGCAGGGGTGCTCTGTTAGTCTGTGCCTTACACTCACTTGTTAGGGGCTTGTTAGGCCCATTTGGGTGGCTGATGGACCCAAAAATCACCCCTGGATGGGCTCAGGGAAGGTGAGTGTGGTCCCGAACAACACCGTGTGGGAACAGACATCAGGTCACGTCTAATGAGAAATATTTACATGTCCGGGGCTGATAAAGCTTCCTTGTGAAGCTGCCAGTTTCCTTCCACGGGCTGTGGGATGGCTCCATCGTGGCTCTGAAGGAAATGGGGATGGGGTGGAGACTGCCCCGAGAACTGCATGGAATACTTTACTGATGAACTCTGGAGAATCCGGAGGGAAGCAGGGGCAGGAGGGTGGGAAGGGGAGTCTGCTGCTCACAGGCAGCGGCTGCAGCCTTGGCTGACACCGTGGGGCACTTGGCACTCTGAGGAAGGGTAAATGCAGAGGTAACTGGGCAGGGATGTGGGTGTAGAGCGCTTAGCTCTGAAAGGCCAAGTTTCCTGTGGCCTTTAGCACTCCTGCTATACAGTTCTTGAGCTCTTAAGTAGGAACAGAAAGGTCACCATTGCCTTCCCTCTGACTTGGGACTGCTGTCTGATGCTTCATTACATGGGGATGCCCTGACTCACCCCATGCCTGTGGTGAGCTGCTGGGCTTTGGCAGCACCATCATCTAAAACAGCACCTCCTCCCATGGAGCAGTCATAAGGAGCTAAAGGACATTGTGTGTTCCCCTTATCCCAGGAAATCCTGAGGGATACAGAGTTACAGCATGGTCATGCTTCCACTGATAATGGGCTTGGGTGGAACCAGAGGCTTCCATGCAGTTTTGGGCTTTTTCCTCACATTTCTTAATGATTTTCTGCTACTTGAAAACTAGTGTGAATTTCTACCCTAATTATGACAACAATAATGTGGGAACTTGGAGTAAGATAACAATAATAAGTAATTATAAGTAACAATCAATTAGTCACACTGAGCTCTTTAAACAAAGTGCTTCTCATCCCAGGTGATTACCATGCACTTGCAGGCACTGGCCGGTGTTGCCCCCATTAATCTGCAGCTGGGGCTGTAGCAGAATTGATCACTTCCCTGTACTTGCATCTTACAGAGACATCCTGTGCCATGGAGGACACAGATCATTAGGAAACTGCTTTTAGCTCATCTTTTACTCCTCAGCATCTGTCCTGCTTTCTCCTGACTGATGTTGGTAATTGATAGCCCATTCTGTTGTCTCAAAAGAGATCCAGACAGCAGGACATGGGGCATGGATAGCACAGCCTGCACAGCTGCCAGACTCTGCATGATTTAAGCCTTTTGTGCCTCAGTTTGCCCACCCATGGGGTAGGAGAACCATGAAGCACCCTGGTACTGGAGATGCTGTGGGGAAGCTGAGGTTTGCTGAGCACTAAGTGAAAACATGCCCACACTCCAGTGGGATGCAGCGCTCCGGGGTGGAGCTGAGCAGCTGGTGAATGAATCCTAGCACCTTCCTGTGCCTGGTGCTTCCTGGAACCATCTGGTCCTGACCTGCTCGAGAGCAGCAAATGGGACTAGAAAGAATTGCTGTCTCTGAGTGAGTGATGTGGGGTTGCAGGCCTGTGTTCTCCATTCGATGGTAATGATCTCTCCTGAGGAGCAGAGAAGAGATGGGGAATAAAAGCTGCAGTGTACAAATGAGTTGCTGGAGGCAAGTCCCTGGCATTCTGCTTTGGTTATTTAAGTGGGAAAAATTAAACAGATGTAAAAAATGAGATACATAGAGAAAATGGGCTTTTCTTCATTCTTTTTTAAACTTTAAATACTTAGCAGTAATCACATCTGGCTTGATCATAAGCCGTGTAACACTGAAGGAATGGCACAGAACTGATGTTCCTAATAATTCCAGGTGGGCACTTTACAGTGAGTAGTTAAATATTAATATTTTATAATTATTTTAGTGGGGAATATGTGTGTGTGTGTGTGTATACATATATACACATACACACATAGAGAGATCTGCTACAGGACCACTAGCCCCACCAGTGGCACAAGCAGACACTGTGTTTTCCCGTGGGCCATGGAAGCCCAAGCCTGATCTGGGAGCTTTGAAGCCAGGTTGATGTCAATTAATGTAAGAGCAAGTTTCCCATCCTTCAGTTAGTTGGGGTGTTGTTCATCAGCGTGACACCCCATACAGATAGGCAGCCTGCATCTGGTTTGGGTACCAGTCCTTTGGCACATACACTTTGAAGATAAATATATTCTGATGGTATCCAGGGACACTGGCAAAAAAGAGAAACCATTTTTGTCTCTGCACTCAGTGGTTTGTCAGGGGTGAAATGTTTCAGATGCTGGTGCTTGATTGAAAAAATATCAAGCAAACCAGAAGCTGAGCAACTTTGGAACTGATTTCTGACAGCAGTTACATGAGGCTTAGCAAGATGAACTTTCAGTGTCCCCGTAAGATAAAGTAGACTAGAAAATTGATGTGATAAAAGAAGAGATTGGTGAAATAGACATTTTTGATGTGCCACCCTGAAATACACTGTATTTCATTAAATTATTCATTCAGTTGGGGGAATAACATTTAAGCACAATAAGATTAGGAACTTAAAAAGACTTCCAGAGAGCTTCATTTCTCAGAGAGCACATTCAGGGACATTCTGACATTTAATTTCTTAGCAAAATGTAAAGCGAAGCTAGGAAATGGAACGCAATTAACATTGACTTCACACTTGGATCCAGTTTTGCATCGGTTCAAACAATGCAGTCAGAGGTGAGTGAATAGTTTGCTTAGTGACTTGCCTCTTTATTTCTGCTTACCAATGCCTTGTGAGCAGCTTGCAGTTTTCTCCAATACCCCCATTCTTTCCTGGGAGGTACTGGTTATTCATCAGATAAGTTTTATGAGTAATTCTCAGTCTTGCCTTGCTCAGTTCTATATTTAGATTTTCTGCTGTGGTGGCTAATATTGAGTGGAGGCTTAGGTCACACATTACTATTTCTATTCTCTGACCGAGTGCAAATACACACGGTGCTGAGCCCCAGACTTAACTTCAGATGTCCTCTAATTCCTGTTAATGTTGTTGTCCTCTCTCACACTGGTCAGAAATGACTTGAAAAGGCAAAAGTACAGCTATGGATTGACCTCAGCACCATCTCGAGCTGCTGTGGCAGATATCTGATGTGCTGCTTTCTTACTCCTGATTTTAAAACCACCAAATACAAAAATCTGAAGCAACATTCAGTGGAATGTTGCTTCATTAGCAGAATGTCGCTGAACACAGACCTTCTCTTTGCCATTGCCCTCTCTAGAGAGCAAGCTTAGATAACCAGCCTAGATGGAAAACCTCATTTTTAGATATCCAAATCTACATGAAATGAATCCTGTTTGAAGTAAATAATACCCCAAAAATCTCAAGACAGCTTTGAAGAAACAGCTTCCTATCAGAAAAAGAGTTGTAGCAGACAGATTTCAATCACTGGTATATATTTCTGTATAGCTGCAAATGCATGCTGACCCTCTGTGTTGGACTGGGCCCAAATCTAGTTTTGCTTAGAAGATTTGCTACAGATCCTCCTATACGTCGTGGTCTAAACCCAGGCCATAAATCAGAATCACGCAGTCTACTCCCCATGCCCTTACACTCTCTCAGCATAGAATTATAGAATCACAGAATAGTTTGGGTTGGAAAGGGCCTTAAGATCATCCAGTTCCAATCCCTTGCCATGGGCAGGGACACCTCACACTAAACTATCTTACCCAAGGCTCTGTCCAACCTGGCCTTGAACACTGCCAGGGATGGAGCATTCACAGCTTCCCTGGGCAAGTCGTTCCAGTGCCTCACCACCCTAACAGTACAGAACTTCTTCCTTATATCCAATCTAAACTTCCCCTGTTTAAGAAGCTTGGGTCAGACCGACAGGCACAAATACCCTTTTATATTCTGATGAACCCAAATCAGATCCTCAGTGCATCATTACCTTTCTGTGGGTTACTAAAGTGTACCACTGCTGTATCTCCAAGCTCTACTTCTTACAGTTTAAAACCATTTTCTGCTAGAAATTATTAGGGGGTGAACAGTGCATTGTTTGAA